TTTAAATTAACATTCCTCAAACAAATAAACGACAAGCAACTTTCTTTTTTATAGTTTTAAGATTGGGGTAGAAGAACATGTGGTCTAAGGCCATACTCACTCTCCATGTGCCTTTCTATAGGTCATTCCTCCCCTCCACACCATGTTTGGAATATAACCTTGCCTCATTTTTACTTATTAGAATCTCTTGGTTTCTTAATGCTCAGTTTAAATACGACCTTCTGCATTAGGTCTTTCCTGAATTCCCATCCCTAGTTATTAGTGCTTTCTCCTCCAATTACCTTGCATTCATTTTAGTATAATTATTTTGCATGTCCATATTTGTGTGTGTGTGTGTGTGTGTGTGTGTGTGTGTGTGTATGTAGAAGGGGAGGGAGAGAGAGAGAGAGAGAGAGAGAGAGAGAGAGAGAGAGAGAGAGAGAAAGCATTAGATTTAGTGGTGCAGAATGTAGGGGTATCCTTGTACTTCCAGGATTTAGCACACTGCTTTTCATATAAAAGATGCTTGCTTAGTTAACTTGAATTAAAAGAACACCAGATAATCCCTAAGGTCCCTTCAAACTGTCATTTTAAGGTCCTGTGAGCTTATATGCCATTTGAAGGGCATGGGGGTTGTTTTTGATTTGGTGAAAACAGGTTTGGAAATCTGGACTTGCTTCCTTGATTTCTATAATGTATGATTACGTACCAAGTCTCTGGAAGTATTCAGCATGTTGCACCTTGGTTCATATCTGTTTCAGGAATCAGATTTCTTTCTGTTTCCTTCAAGATTCAAGTCACCTTGAACATTACAGAAAGTCCAAGTTTTCAATGCCCTGCTACAGACCTAAAGTGTAAACTTAGGAATTTTAATATAAAGGTAGCCTCAGTTTTTTTTAAACATGAAGCTATATGTGACTACATATCTGAAATCATTCACTCACTCCCCACCCCCAATTTCCGAGATGAACTTTCACAATTACATTGTCAGCAAACCCAGAAAATAAAAGTAAAACAAAACACTATTTCGAGATCATTAAGCTAAGACCACAAACAATGGAACATTAACTTTTAAGGCTGATAATATTTTATTTAGAGACCTTCTATTTCAGCAGCTCTCCACAATAGACTATAAAGAGAAAAGAGAAAGCACAAAATATTTTCTTTTTGTTGAGTCATAAATTGAGTATAATTAATCATTGAGTCAGTATTAAACAGATTACTCAATTTTCTATTTGCTTTGAGCACTTAAAATAGGCTGACCATTCTGGGGTGAAACATTATTAGTTGAATTTTGGTAAACCTTCAAGCTATGAAAGGTTTGGCTCTTGTACATCTCTTACTGTTTAATAGACTACTATGGAAGAGGATGATGAACTCATGTTCTGAGTATTAAGTATCAGAGTTTTGGAGAAACATCTTCTCCCCAGATGAAGAAACCTTCAGGACAAAGAAATAGCTATATTCATCTGCATTAGTAAGAGATGCTCAGGTTGTACTTTATTCATCTCTTTATTGGAAACAAAATAAGCCTGATTAATTATATTTTGAAGAAGTACCTCCCCCTGCCCCCCATCTTAGAGAATGCTAACTATAGAGGAATATATTTTCCTACAGGAAGATGCCATCTCATCTTTATCAACTCCTGGAACTCTCAGACTCTTATAGTTCCCCCATTTCTTTTTTGTCAAGGAATACCACTTATTGGCTATTATTGGTTGTGTGCTTTGAATAATCCTAAAAAAGCAATAAAACCCAGATCTGCATCCTGAGAAGCTGAAATTCTTACCATTCTAAGCAATCTTCTTTAGCATGCCACTAAATCTTAATTTTTTTTCCCTTTTCAGTTTGTCAACTCACTTTTTGACCCCCTAGTCTTGCAGACTTCATAGTGTGTATGATTCTCCTGAGGATCTCATGAATCTCAAAACTGGGAAACTCCCACAACAATCCTTTATTTTATATTGAATTTTAGAGAATGAAAAAGGCTTGAGATCTTTGATTTGTATCACAGCTGCAAGATTGTTCAGATTAAAATAGCTTCAGTGTCAACAATCTATATCAGTCTGCGTATCATCTGCCATGTGGATCAATTTTGTTGGCTGGTTTGTCTTTTAGTAATGCCAAATTTCCCCCTATGTGGCATGAAAATCTGGTGTCTTTGTATGAAACAAATCAAATTGCTTGTTTTCTGGACCACTAGCTATTGAATTTCTCTCCTTGCCCCACCAATTGCTCTTAATGCAGCATAGATAATAGAAGAATCTTTTATCTTTCTGTCTGGCAGCTACCAGGACATGGCATTACTTACAACTGATTTTTATGCCAAATGAATTCTGGTTTAGATTTATTTTGCAATAAAATGGGATGTAAGCTCCTTGAGGGCAGGGATTAAAAAAATGACCTTGTATTCCTGTATCATAGCACAGAAGGGACTTAACAAATGCTTGTTGAAGTGAATTGAACCTTGACATACATATATGTTTGGTTTGGTTTGGTTTATTGAAAATGGGATCAAGGTTGGTTCACTAGGAAACAATACTGGCTTTGGTGGTGATTAATGTAGTTCAAGGGAGAAAGAAAGATCATTTGGAATCAGAGAAATTGGGTTCAAATCTAGAGTCTGTCACTTAATAACTACTCAATTATAGGCAAATCATTTCCCCTCTCTGGGCCTCAGTTTCCTCATCTATTTAATGGTGGTGGGGGTTGGGATCAAAATTTATCTGCTACTTTCTAGTTCTAAATTCTATAGAACTATAATTTTAAGTACAACTTTTGAATAGATCTAGACATGATGTTGCTTTATAACAACCATTAGCAGGCCAGTTTCTGAGAGGTCTATATTATTCTGGTTACCGATAGTGGAGCTGCATAGAAGCTTACTTCTTAGTCATTGAAGAAATGTTTTGTCCATTTCAAAGCTTTTTTCTGCAATCTCCCTGAAAGTGGACACTTAGCAGTTGCCAGTGATGTCATATGTAGTGGTGATCCCAGTTTAGTGAAACTTTGGCCTTCTTGTTCCATTTTCTTTCTTTACCTCTCCCCATAGTTGCTTAAGGCAGTGGCAATAGCAATGGCAAAACTTGGTCTAGGCAGTGAGGCTGACTCTGAAGGAGAGATAAAGACAGTGTGTCTTTATAATGCCAAGCACCTAGGAAATGTCTCAATAACTGCAAAACTGCCACCTAACATATTTTCTTCCAATATGAACCCTTTGGGCTTTGGAAATCAAGAGACTCAGGAAAATCTGTTCTGGGACCTACTACCTTGCAGCTGCATGTACAGTAGATCACTTCAATAGTTAATCTTACAAGAGAAAAAAAGTGAATAATTCAATTGAGTGGGGCTTTATCCACTCACAGATTTTCCCCACCCATTATTTGTCATCCAAAAGGATAGCTGGATGCTAACTTGTGTATTCCATAGGCCTCTGTAATAATAATAAAAAAAATTACAAGTCTAATTTCAATACGTGAAATGACCCATATGTACTGTATAGTAAACTTCATACAAGACTGGAGACAGATGGACAAAGTCTAGGCTTAAGGGATTCATGAAGTTGTTTTGATTCAAGGCTAAGAAGCTTTTTAACTAGTCCAGAGACTAGTAGTTCTGTGACTGGAATTGTATTTTGCAAGAGATTAATGACTTATTCAAATATATTAACATTGTGTTTTGGTCTAGATCTCATTGTCATATGGGGATAGGAAAAAATATTTTAGATTATTAAGATCTGTTCATGCTCCCAGAAGACAGAGGTAAAAGGAACATATATATCTATGATCAATCTTCCAAAGACAGACTTGAGGGTACTGAGGGTACTAAATGCCTACAGCTGGGAAAAGTTGCGAACCAAAAAAAAAAATGAAGAAGTCAGAAGAAACAAATGTATGTGGTATAAAATCTAGGAATTCTTTCATCTATTGAAAACCTAAGAGTTCTTTAGACTTACCTCCCAGAAAAGGGGACTTATTATGTGACAATCTTTTTCTGGAACTCAGATCAACTGGCAGGACTTGGTAAAGTTACTGGGAATACACACCATCTCATATATTTATCTTCCATTGATTGTTTGATCCTCTTGGCATCCCTTCCTCTTCAGTCCCATTTTATGATAAGGTTCCACCAAACTTCTTTATATTATGAAAGATGGCCATTATTCAAACCATTTTTTTGTGATGGGGTACAACACTGGGAAAGATTTCTTGATTAAAGAGCTGTCAGGTGAATTTTTTTTTCCATAGTGGAGAACTCCACCTGGGAAACCTACCATCACAAAAATCCTTTTCAACTAGACCAGGCTTGGTGTTTCTCTTATCATTCATTATAAAGAGTGACTCTCTTCAGTGGAAATAGTGGCTTGACCAGTTGGTAAGCAGGAATTGCTTGTTTTATGAAAGTCTGTGTTAATTTAATAAAGCAAATCTTCAATCATAACACTCTAAAATAAAATTAGCATTGTCCTCTATGCAGAATTACCTCTCTATAATTCTAGATTCTAGGAGGGAGTGATGACTCAGATAAATAAATTTATAGATAATTAATAAACTTCACTTAAACCAATATAGTCAGCCAACTTTCCACCAAACTTTTTGTTAGAATAGCAGATTACAAATTGTATGTTTTGTTTACAAACAACTAGAAAACCATAAGGGAGGAAAAGGGAAGAAAAACAATACTCTTCAAAATTCTTCAAACTAGTTAACCATTCCCTGAAAAACATTCATGCTTTATCTACATACTCACTTTTCATTATACTAGGAATATTTTGGGTGTTTTTAAGCAGCCATGCAAATAAGAATCAAACTTTTACCAGCCCAGACATTTTATTTCTACTGGCCTATGCCACCTTGGCTATTTACTGATGAGATTCATCCTGTGGATATTTATTTCTTTCCTTAGCCAATATAAACTGTGAATAAGCTCTGCAATAGGGACTACATCAGTTTCTTTTAAAATATCTGATGCTTTTACATTGGTTTTAGTTCACATCTCACGTGATTAGGGGAGGCCCACAGTGTTTTCAGGATATACTGTTTTATTTAGGACATCATTACCAACTGACAAGAGTTTTTTTTCAAGGGAGCACTTGAAAAGTGTCTTGGAAAATACTGGTGGTCAGAAACAAAGAAAGAGTTAGATAACAATGCCAAAATAAAGTTGGGTTTATCTTGTACAAAACAGTTATAAATACGAGAGTTCTCTTTGGGATGTTGCTGCTTGACTATTTCAAAAGTATAAAATACTTTTTCTTAGCCAGAGAATATACTTGTTTGATACTTAGCAACTACACATCTTTACATCTTTGTTTTTTTTTTCATTTTGCTTTGTTTTGTTTTTTTTTGAATTGGCACTAGTTTTAATTTAAAAAAAATATTCAGTAGTGATTCAGTATATTTTGGAGATGGAAGCCTCATTTCTCACCCACTGTAAAATAAAATTTGAAAGGGTGTGTGTGTGTGTGTGTGTGTGTGTGTGTGTGTGTGTGTGTGTGTGTCTGTATGTGTGTGCCCTGTTTTAGCAAGATGAAGAAGGTATCTTACGATGACTTGTGATAATGACTCAGACCTTTGCTCCATGGAAGAACATAGGCCAATTTCAATGAAACTTGTTAGCTGCAGTCTCTTGCTCTTTGTCTTTGTGGTGAACTGGTCTTCCTCTAGTTCAAAAAGGAAAGACAAACCTTTAAAATGCATTCTAAGTAAAACTTTAGATTATCTACTTCTTTGATTTCAACAAATGAAGAATTTTTTAAAATTATTTTTGCTTCTCAAAATAATATTCCTGGCTGATGTGCACCAGGGCAGACACATATACACACACTCACATACATATATACCCTTCCCAGCTCTGCCACCTGCTTGATGTTTCGCAGTCACTGTGCAGCTATTAGCTTGGTTGGTTTTTTCAATGTTATGAAGAGAAATCCCGGGCGCCTTACCACACTGCAACTCACAATGAAGGTCCAACTGCAGAGTTGGTCCTTCCAGCTTTTCAAACACTCCTAACCCAGAAATGTGACTCAGCACCAGTATGTGCTAGTGCTTGGAGATGCAAGGAGAAAAGATGGATAAGGAAACTCTGGAGGAATCTATACTCTCTGCTTGCAGGTCTTACAGATTTCTCTGTTGAGGTGAATCAACAATTACCCAAATCTCTAAAAATGATACCAAACTGAGTGGAATTTAGTGAGAATTGGATGTCGAAAAGTAACTAGGGATTATCCAACACACACACACCCCAGGCACATACATAATAAAACCTTGGTGAGGTCCTGTAATACTCATAGATAATAAGCTCTTTGTAATTAGGGATGAAACTGAGCAGCGTCCTCCTTTGCTACTGAATATTTGCCAATGCTGAAGGAAAGAAAAAGCATGAAAACCCTTCAGTCTTCACTGCTACTGGTTATATTTAAAGATAGAGGTATCCGACCCAGTAGACCAGGTTAAAGAGCAGGAAAGAGGTTGGGAAAAAGACTCTGGAATATGAGTCCAGCTCTGAGATATCTATGTGAATCCTTCCTTTCCGCCAGGAGCCTGATTTACACTCTTCATAGCAACAGAAGAAGCTTTGACAGTCTTTGCCATCCAGACACTCATAGACACAAGTATCTTCAAATTCCTGCCAGTACATGGAATTATTCAGAGGGATCACCGTAGGAGGCGGTCTCATATCCAGGACAGAATAGTTCTAGAAACAATTGACACAAAAGAGCCGGCATTAGATAACAGTGCAAACAACATTAGGTGAATCAAATAATCTGTGTATATATATTATAGAGTGGCCAGAGAGACAGGTCGAACATGGAAACTTGCATGCTTATGGTTTGTAGCCATATGTTCAGATTGATCAGATGCCTGGAAAACATTTATGTAATAATGTCTGTTCCATCTAGAGGACAAATATCTAAATCTGTTATGTCCAAGGGATTGTTACGTGTAAGCAAGCATAGTGGACTGAGGTCACCTTGGAGTCAGGAGGGTTTGGGTTCCAATCTTTCCTCTAACCCATAGTGGCTGTGTGACTCCCAAAATGTATTAACATCTCAGTGCTCCCAGACAACTCTGTAAGCCTCTAAGCTGCTCTAAGCTGATGTTAATAGTGGGAATTTCCCCATTAAAAAAGTTCCTTTTCTGCAATGAACGCATGTATTGACATTCATTTTTAAAATGTCTTTACAGATCTCATAAAGCAGAGGTGAGGAATCTGCAGCCTCAAGGCCACATGTGGCTCTCTAGGTCCTCAAGTACGGCCCTTTGACTGAATCCAAACTTCGCAGAACAAAAAAATATAAAAACTTTGTTCTGTGAAGTTTGGATTCAGTCAAAGGGCCGCACTTGAGGACCTAGAGAGCCACATGTGGCCTTGAGGCTGCAGATTCCCCATACCTGGCTTAAAGGATGAACCCACAACCTATTTATTTTTCTGATTTGATGTATGCCATGTATTTCTTTTAAGCACCTGAATTTTTAGAAATTGCATACCTCCAAATGGCATTTAAAATAAAACAAAACAACAAATAAGAAGTCAAATGGGATCATGAAAATATTCAACTGTCATAAATCCCCCAGCAATGTCTGACAGGCATCTATGTTGACTCAATTTATATAATATCTCTGTGTACAAAACATGAACGAGGTATTACATTTTTTTTTAAAAAACAAAAAAAATAATGGGGAAACATTTTTGATGATCTTTGGAAGAAAAAGATGGCTTTCAATAGAATACAAATTCTTTGAAGGTACGGTTTGGTTTTGTCTTTATCTCACCAATGACTTGCACAAAGTCTGGTACAGAATAGGTGCTTAATAAATGTTTATGGACTTGAATTGGGTATTAATTCATTTACTATTCCTAAATCACACAATGGTTCATAACTGACCAATGAATATTATTATTATCAGATGAATATTGTTATGTTGCTTTGTGAGTATGTTATCTTTTAATTGAAAAAAAAGTAAGTATAAAATAAAACAACAGCTAAAGGACATTTAAAAAAAAGCACGAATCTTAGTTTGTAGAAAAGCATGTATGATCACTCAGGAAAAAAAAGAGTAAAAACCAAACATATTGGAATTTGAATGAAAATGTGAAGAAATTATTCAGTGAAGCAGTGATATTTGTTACTGTCAAATCTTTACTTTGCCATTGTCAACATGTCAATAAGTTTTTGTTAATGCAAATTCACTGCTGTTAGAATTGTGAATTAGTCCAATTGGTCAAGAAAATAATTTGGAATCAGGACAAATATTACTAAATTGTTCATATCCTTTGACCAGAGATCCTATTTCTAGCCAATGATATAATGGAATGACTTATATGTTTAAATAATTCATAGTAATTCACATAAATAAAAAGTTTTTTAATAAAACTAAAACTAGAAATATAATATATACCCAACAATTGGGGGATGGCTTAATAAATGTTAGTATATGAATATAGTGGAATATTATTATGCCACAATAGAGAATAAATATGAAGAACTTTGAACAAGATGAGATTGGTATGAAGTGATACACAACAAAGAAAGCAGAGTCAACATAATATCCACATGATGACTATAACGTTATAGACAAACACTAAAAAGTAACATGATTTAGACCGACAACATATATTGTTCAGAACAAATTATCGTTAAATTAGAAATCTTTTCTTTCTGATAAAAATAACTATAAGCTACACAAGTGGAAAATGGCACCTGTATCAGTGACAATTTTTCTAGTAAGGTTAGGCTTAATTCTTTTGGAGCAATGTGCTTTGTCAGGGTTTGCTTAAAAATATTTCTTGGGAAGTGCCTGCTACATCATTACAGAATGTTTTAGTGATAGTTCATGTTAAATAAAAAAAAAATTATTTACCTGGTGCTTATTTCACAATTAATTATAGACTTGGATTGGATTGGAAAAGGAGTTCTAGGTATTTCTATAGAAGAGAAGTGGAAGGATCATCATAGCAAAATTCTAAGCAACTGTTTATCAAGCCTATTAATAATCCTTCAGAGATTAACTAAAAAGCAATGTTAAAGTTCTGCTGTCCTGTTACACATGTAGAAATGGCCTGAAAAGTAGATTTTAGAAAAGAAAATCTAATACTTTGAATCCTTAGTAGTTTGTCAGATTTTCCTATCCCTTAACTAGATGCTGCAATCTGTTTGCCAATCTTTCTGTTGCTTTGTCTGTCTGTGTAACACAATTTCAGGTTTGGAACATTCATGAAATGCTCTTCACTTTGGTCAAGAGGATGATGTCTCAAGCCTATGTGCCTAAAGGACAAAATTGGTGGCAGAATTTAAGACTCAAAAAAGTGACTCCAGTTGTCTACCTCTGCCTTTCTTTCTCTTTTTATCTGGGGAGAAGTTTACCCAAAAGGAAATTTTATGAAGTTTCTAGGGAGGCAGGTTAGAAATCAAGGACATATTGAGGTGTCAATTCCTCTATATGTTTGCTACTTCCCAGAGTCTTTTTTTTCCTTCTTTTTTTGCACAGGTCTCTTCATATAGAATGTAGTGAAATAGTTGATTTTCTCAAAGAAATAATGAAGATTTTCTCTTTTTTTCCAAAGGTCTTACACCAACTCTCCTCCTCAAACAGACACACAGTATTGAACCATCCTTGTCTCCACCAATAAGGCAAGTCTCATACAAATGCTACAGTCTTGAAACCAAGGCAACATTCATATACCTTAGAGCAGTCTAAGGATCTAGTTAAAAAGTCTGTAATGCCAATTAACAACTTGCCTAAAATTCAAACTGCAAGAATACCTTTTATTTTCTTCATTTTGCAATATCAAAACCAAACCAAACCCTAAAGTTTGAATGAATTCAGTATAGCCTATAGAATTCTGGTTAGAATTTTAGTATGTATTGAAGACTGGGATGTGAAAATTAAAAATTATGCATGCATGTGTAGGACATATACATCTTCATTTGGGGTACTAAGCAGTATTACATATTTTCAAAGTATAAAAATTGACATTTGTATAAAATCTTTCCAAAACTATGTAGTCTGACAGAAAATTATATAAGGGAAACAACATTAAAAAGTTGGGGGTTTTTTTGTTATTTTAGGCAATGGGGTTAAGTGACTTGCCCAGGGTCACACAGCTAGTAAGTGTTATGTGTCTGAGGCCAGATTTGAACTAAGGTCCTCCTGAATCCAGGGCCAGTGTTCTATCCACTGTGCCAGCTAGCTGCCCCTAAAAAGGGTTTTTTTTTTTCACTCAGTCATAGTGTATTGTAGGACAAGAAGCCTATTAAAAACAATAAAAACAACTTTTTGGCATGGTGCCATTGTATGTTCAGTGATTTGCGAACTGGAATGGAGTTAGATTCCTTCTTTTGTCTGCCTACCCATTACCTAAAGTGAAAACAAATAATAGGAAGAAGCAAAAGGCCTAAGATTATCAACAAATAGAAAAATAAAATATTCCTAGAATTGAGAACTGGCTCTCCAAAGAATTGTTTAGAATGCTCTAGATAATACTTAAAATTTATCAAATAAATAATAACTAGAAAATACATATTAAACTGATTTTTATTGAGAATGACTTTTAATTTTTATTTGCCATAATAAACCGAAACTAATGAAATCATATTTTGACCTTCTCCTGACATTAAAACAGTGTAATGTGGTTTATTTGGGGCTGCTTGAACTGAAAAGCTTAGGGGCATGTCATAAAGGAAAAAAAAATACATAAAGGGGCAGGAAATATAATGAAATCAGATGACAGGAATTTTCTTGCCTGGAACAAGGCAGAAGTAGGGTGAGAGGTCATTTAGAGTTTTTTTTTACAAAGCTGTACTTAGGGAATTAGAATCAATCATTTAATTTTTTTCTCTAATTTTAATCTTTTTTTTTTTTGACAGGTCCTAGGGTTTTTTGGCCATCTGGTGATGTCCATGTGTAGTCACCTTTTGGGTTGTTGAAAAAAGAGTGTTTGCTATGATCAGTGAGTTATCTTGACAAAACTATTAGTGTCTGCTCCCCTTCATTTTGTACTCCAAGGTGAAACTTGCTTGTTATTCCAATTATCTTTTGATTTCCTACTTTACCATTCTAATCCCTTATGAAGAATGTGACCTCTTTTTTCTTTCTTTCTTTTTTTTTTTGGTGTTATTTCTAGAAGATGTTATAGATCACCTTTAGTCTCTTTGGAATTAGTGGCTGGAGCATAGACAACATTTAACAGTGATGTTAAACAATTAGCCTTGGATTTGAATAGATGCAATTTTGTTCTTTTGGAGATTGTGCCTCAGTACTGATTTTTTTTTTCATCCTTTTATTAACTATGATGGCTACTCCATTTCTTCTAAGGAATTCTTGCTCACAGCAGTATATGTAATGATCACGTGAATAAAATTCACTCATTCCCGTCCATTTGAGTTCACTGACCTTCATGATGTTGATGTTTAATCTTTCCCTCTTCTATTTGACCACATCAAGCTTACCTTGGTTTATAGAACTTACATTCCAGGTTTCCATGCAATATTGATCTTTACCACACCAGATTTCCTTTTGTCGCCAGACACATTTGCCACTGAACTTCCTTTTGATTTTGGCCTAACCACTTAATTGACCTTGGAACTACTTGTAGCTGTCCTCTGCTCTTCCCCAGTAGCGTGTGGGACACCTTCTGACTGAGGGGGCTCATCTTCCATTGTCATAACTTTTATCATTCTAATATTGTCCATA